CTTCGTTCACCACTTCCTACGTCGCGGACCTGTTTTCCTCCCTTCCCATAGCATTTTAGGAATGCAGATACCTTAATCTAATCGTCATAAACAGTTTCCACACTCCAGACTGCTCGCATTTACTACTTCCTTCACCACTTCCTACGTCGCGGACCTGTGTTCCTCCCTTCCTATAGCATTTTAGGAATGCAGATACCTAAATCTAATCGTCATAAACAGTTCCCACACTCCAGACTGCTCACCTTTACTACTTCCTTCACCATTTTATACGTCACAGACCTCAAGCTAGTGTCGTCATTTGATTATAATTATGAACCATACCGTTTCTGTTCTAATATCTGTGGAATTATGCTATCAGCTATTTCATTATCTACTGCATTTAAAAGTCAACAGCTGATCATCCTGTTGTGTTGATGAATCTGTGTTTTTGTTTATGTGTCAAATACTGCTTCCATAAGGATTACATTGAAACTTTGAGACCCAGTGGGGCGAATTCCTGAGAGACTTTTTTAACGCCATATAGATGTTGGCACTCACCGATATGGTCTTTATCACCATGCAAAATTTGAAAACGATCGATTCAGCTGTCTAGGAGGAGTTTGCGTATTACGAAATGCATAAGAGTCGACGTATAAGAGCTTCGTTTGCTTCGCTCGCTCCGCTCAATTAACCGACTACTCCTAAATAGTTATATTTAGGGCATTTTTGTAAATACAAAAGTTGTTCCTTATTGTGTAAGCAACATTTATTGTTATAAAAGTAACTCGCTATATATTACGGTTTTCGAGATATAAGCTCCTAATGAGTTTCATGTAATAAATGCCGCCGCCATTTTAAAAATGGCGGATTCTGAGGTTATGCCCACTCTGCCAAGCTGGCACCCACGTGAAAAAAGATAACTCGCATAGTACCTACATGATCCCTTAGGGTGTTTTTCTATACATAAAATGCACACGGGAACCCCCCTAGCTAGTGGATTAGTGACTATTTTATTGTCCCAATAATTTAGTACTGAAAAAATTAAAATTTAGTATTGACAGTTAGCTGTATTTTTTTACTTAAAAAAAATCATTGAAATTTTGGCGCTGGTGTTATAAGGGGCAGGTGACTATGTTAGGTAGGGGATATAAAGGGTCAGTTTGAATTGGGATGATTTTCACACCTGACCTTGGCGGAAAGGGCATCTCTGCATCATCTGTAGTTAATCATGAATTGGTTTGTAATTTTAATGAGAAAATTGAAGAAAGCCCTTTAAAATTAAAGATTAGCATTTTAAGTTTCACTGAGAGTAAAAAGTAATTAATTGGATAACTGGGATTTCTTAAACTTTACGAACATTGGGCGCATAAAGTTATTACTGAACAGCACAAACAACAATGGATATTTCTTTCAACAAATCAGGCAGTGCATTTGATTTGTTGACATTCTATGACGAGGGTAACAGACATTACTAACGCAAATATTCATAAGGGATGAAACTTGAATTACTTATTAACAATATACCCCAGAAACCAAACATCCTCAGCAATTTGAAAATGAATTACATACTTAATTTCACAATTGGCGGGAACTCTTATTAATAGAAGCACAAGGTGTGTAGACGCAACAGCTAACTCAAAATACCGCAATTTCGTCCGTCTTTGCTCAAAGTTATTGCTGCACATGGATAAGACTATGATTGCACCATTGCCACCGAGAAGATGGAGGCAGGATTTACTTTCCAAATGCACCTACCAAATACCAATCGCATGTATAAATTATATTTTGGAAAAGGGAGACACTTTCCTATTAGCTGTTGGACTGTACACTTGATCGTAAAACCACCACGTTCTTGGATTGGAAATAGTTGCTATTATATTTGCTTCTTATCTTCACTGTATTAATGATACAACAAATAGTCCGTAACATTTGGATTCCGACTGACTTTTGACTGTACATCCAAGTTTATTAAAGCCAACAGCAGCAATTCACTTTTGGTCAAATGTTGTGTTATTTAAAGCTAATGAATGATTTTAAAAGTTGTACTAAATAATATGAATTTTTCTCATCTTATATTGTATATCATTAAAGAACTAACAATAGTACCGGTACCTACTCTATTATACTTTACCATACACAAATTACAAACATTGGTAATAACTGGTAAGAAATCATTACTGTGCTGGAATCTGTAAAAGTATAGAGAAATACATTATCAACTTACTAATAACAGACTGTCCTTAAGTGAAATAAAACACTCAAGAAACAGAAAAAAAATTAAGGAGGCTGTGGACAAAAGGTAAGACACATTAGACAAAGACACGAGACAGGGATACACAGGTAGGAAATTTTCAAAATGGCTGCCGATCCTTTTACTCTCTCTTATGTAATTAAAATAATGAATAGTTTATCGATCGCCTATATATATTTCAATTTATGAGTATACATGATAAATTAAGTTCTTAAAATCTTAAAATTAAAAATTAAAGAAATCAAAACGAAAAACTAAGCTAACAAAGTTGTCACATTTACAGAACAAATTGTGGAAAAATTTAAAAATACACACTCGGACACTTAGAGATGAAAAAATAAATAAAAGTAGCGAACAGTGCACAAAACAAAAGGACAAACACTTGCTCACACAATAATGGAAATAAAACTGTAATGTGGATCTGAGTCAGTGACAGCTGATGATTATTTTGGCTGACTGTGTTGGGCAGTATCAAAGTTATTTATAAGAAGTTCAAATAATGTGATATTTATAGTGTTCAAATGTTGAAAGTTTGTTAGATGGATCACAATTAATCATCTCAATCAAACCAGTGTGTGTGTGTGAATCTACCGCCATTCCCACTTCAAGGCTTTTCAAATCAACACAATCACTGTTTTATTGTAATATTATCGGATATAAAATGCATATCGTATAGACCTAATAATCGGATGAAAGGAATTGGCGGTCTTGTGATATTTGTTTTCAAGATGATTTTCCTTATTAAAATTGCCAGAATGTTTCTTTATGCGTGTAAACTAGCTGTTCTAAATTGTATTCAGTTTTAATCGACTACTTGATTCTCGTACGTAGGACGGGCCAACTGCTAGTTATACTTATTCTTAGATCCATCAAGTAAGATACAAATTTTAATGTTTGCCCCATATGATGTTTGGAATATTTAGTTGACCCTCTTAGTTACATCTAATCCTACTACTGTACAGGGTGTTTGTAAAAGAATGCCGAGACTTTGAAGGGTCGTCCCTCGAGGACTAGTCAAGATAATTAAATGATTTAAAAGTCAAATTGAAGGAAAAAGATTTAAGTTTTTTCTCATACTTTGATACAATTTGGAATAATTTAATAAAATTCAGATTTTCATCAACAATCTTATATGAGCGTAAAACTGGCTAAGTCTCTACGCTTAGGGCAATCGTCGGGTTTATCTGATGTCTTAAATGAATCTTTTTAGGCACAAAGGCTCTATCTTTTACAGATAACATCATAAAGTGTTGATTAAGGTTTGTTCAACTGAAGACTTTGTCGGGCAATCGATTTTTTGGGGCTTTTGATGCAGAATTGTTGCATTTCTTCGATGATGTCATCGCTTGTTTTTAGCCAGCCAGCTGTCTTTTCAAAACACTGTGTAGCTCATTAAACCGGCGTCAAATGTCTTTATTATTAAGTAGATTTAAATTTAGTTTAATTTAGCAATCGATATAAACTCTGTGAACCACAGATTACACTCATTGTCTTCTGTTGCACCCTAAACATCATACTGGCATCGGACTGGCACCATGAGCGCTACTCGCAATAGCGGCCTACCGCCCCAAACCTGTTTTGCGCATGCCAAGGTCAAAGTTTCCTCCCTTGCTATACGGGAAACAAAACTTAGTTATTTTAGCTTCAATTTTAGTGTGTATAAAAAGTTTAGGTACCTTGAATCAACAATCAAGGATACAATTACAATTTCAAATCCTGACATTCTTTTAAAAACACCCTGTATTTACTTATCACAAAAACAATAAACCAACAGTCATTTAACTGTGAAAAGTGTTGTCAATTAAATGATTTAAATACTTCAATGATGACAAGGTGGGTCAAAACGGATAGTAGAATCTTGTTCTTTGGCAGATGACGCATTGTTGTACTGGCGAAAATACTGACGAATGTTTCAGATGCAATCTAACTTTTGGGCAAGCTACAATTCAAGTAAACTTTAGCAGTTGAATCTTAGCTTTCTCCAAAGATAGAATGGTACGCCGCATCCAAGACATCAACGATTTTCACTGGTTCAACAACCTGGTCATCTGTCACATAGTTAAATCTTTGGTTTAGTTTCTAGTTATTCCTGGTTACAAGAAATATATTTAAAAAATCATTATGTAGCCTAGCCCCTGAGCTGTTTAATTAGACAATTATAAGGTACATACCGTACCTTTTTACCTAAAAGATATGCCTCACCTCAGGTACAAGTTTTGAGATACAAAAGTGTTCACTTACGGTATCAAAAATATATATACAATATATATTTTCATAACCAAGCTATTTATGATTAATTATGAATGATTATTAAATAAATACTTTAGTCGTGGAAGAGGATGAGAATCATATTGCAAAACAGAATGAATACATAGCTAACGTAAAGTCTAAGTTAGATACGAACTTGACAAAAGAAAAACACAAATTTCAGTAAATCTCATCACTTTCGATGTCAAATTTGCCTTTCTGCTGTCAAACTGATGTTCTTTTACTGCGCAGTGAACATGTAACATATATTTACAATGGGTTTCTATATTCTTTTTTTTCACTAGTACCTTATTCTTTAAAAAGTCTTTTAGCCGCTGTCACCGACTAGCACTGTGGATTGTGGATTGTGTAAGGGTACATCCAATGCAACATACAGTGAGATGGGGCTTGTGTGTAAAAATGAAAATACAAAGCTACATAACATGTATAATTATTGTGAAAAGTTTAAATAAATAGAAAAAATGATATTACCAATGAGATTATTTGGGATCTGATAACTTACCGAGGAGAAAATGAGTTCCAGAATTGACTAAACGGGGGAAAGGGCAAAGAGAAAAGGAATAATTACCATATGTATGACTTGGCAGTTGGAGGTCTTGTAGATAGTTGAGAATTTAAAAGAATTTGAAACAGTTGCAAAACTATGAATTTCTAACATATATTAAGGGATTGTTTTATATAATGATTGAATAGAAAGTGTGATTAAATAAATAAGTATACATTTAATTTCACGATTTTGAAAAGGAAAAAGTATATTAAAAGCTTAAAGGTTATCAAAAGATGAGAGTAACTAATACAGCTCTGTCCAAAACAAAACCGAGAGGACCTTGTATTTAGATTGACAATGTAACAACCCCAGCAAGATTATTTAATGTGCTTCATTTACAAGTGGTAATTTTAGCTTTAAAATGTTAACAGAAAGTACAATATGTTTCACATCTCAAGTTAATTGAGGAAAAGCTAACGGGACTCACATTTTTTTTAATCGTAGGAGATTCTAACTAAATTCATATTAATCATATATATAAGGTTTCCCTTGAAAAAAATATTTTTGAAACATGCATTTACAATTCAATTTTAAGTTTAAGTCACCTCAATCAGGTATACTAAAGTCAACTTACTAATTATGTTTTTTGTGACAGACATAAAGATTCCCCTAGTTTCAAAAGTGCATGGGTGGTTTTGGACAATCTGTAAGTCTCTTCCAAAACTAGAGATTTTGGTTATTAAGTCCAAGTACTCAACAAACAGTTCCAGTATCAGTAATATTATAATAATTAAAAATACCATGCTCCTTACTTATATATGTGTAGCAATGCCTATAGTTTAGAGCATACTTCAATAATTTCTTGATTCCGATGAAGGATAATGATATTGCCAGTTTTGATTACATTTTAAAAATAAATGTATTTGTTCTACATTTTTTTTACATGACAGGTTTTATTTATTTTAATTAAAAATGTTAACATGTGAATTTTCCCTTTTGAGTTTTCTTATTGGAACTCAGAACAGAATTTTCTTTTGCTAAGAAGGTTTGCTGAAAAGTGCACCATAAAAGTCTTAACGTCTTAAGTCTTAAATCTTAGTGTGAGTCCTACATTAAAATGTATTCATTTTAAGACACATCGAGAGACTGGAACGTGGTGTTACTTGGACTTAAATAATAACAGCTTGAAATTTTAGGAAGGGCTTTATGGACACGTGTATCTAGCAATAACGTGTTTTTATAATTATCATAATCTGTTTAGGGAGTTAGAAAACCTTAGCAGCTTAATCTAAAAGAATCAGTTTAACTTACAATTGAGAAATTGTTTATAAAAGCATTATAGAATTTAAAATATTTGTCCAAAAAATTTTATTATGTTAATTATATGCTTGAAATGTTTACTACGAAATTACAAATCATGTCTTTTCCAAACGCTACAAAACCTCCAGATTTTAGGCCACTAACAATAGTCGACCTAAAAATAACATTTATACTGAAAAATTATATCTTAAACTGTAATAGTGGAGAGTTGAAAAACGAAGTTACACTTGCCATGCCAACTGATAAGTGGATAGGAACGGAAAGGTCAACACACACACAGAGAGGAGGTGGTCATGGAAGTGTACTGATAAGTCCTCGACTGATCATCTGATCATCTGATCACCTAACATCTTGACTGTCGCCGAGCCATTGAGCCATTAGGATAAGACACTACACAGTGGGTGTAAGGATGGAACAAAACAGCACATAAAGTACATTGTAGACAACACAACAGGGGTAGGATACTAAAGAAAAACAAAAACAATATTAAGTCAACAGTTTTGACAGTTCCCAAACCACTAGTGATTACCGACAATAAGTTGAACTCTGAAAACTTTGTGACCGACCCACCACAAATCATAGATTTAACTGGTGGGTCAATTTACGGCTACACTGGTCACAGAGTATGAAACTAAGGATCACAGTCAGTGGCTGCTCTACTCCAATGAAACAAGTGGAACCAAAGCCAAATCATTTGAAAAAAGAGCAGAAAGCACTAGAAGCACAAAGGAAAATTACAGTTGTGGTAGAGATGCGAACTAAACGGAAAAAAATAAAACAAGACCAAACCAAAAGTGGATGAATGTTTCACGGTACTTACTTAGTAGGCTAAATCAGTTAAAAAAAATTGGATAAAAAGGTGGTCGGGTTGATATAGTTGGAGTTTAAAAATTAAAAATTAAAAGTGTAATTTATAATGAATAATCAAGGAAATTTATAAAGATATTTAATTACTTTAGCTAATTATTAAGTAAAAGAAGTTGTTAATCAAACTTAATTTTCTAAATATTTACTTACAAAGTTTTAGCTGCACAAAAGCCTACATAGTAATGATTTTGTGGATAAACTTGTATACTTTCTATATCTTGATAAATGTTTGTAAGTGTAAAGCAATGGTTAAACATAATGAGAATAATAATTGGAGTGGTTTTGAGAAGGCAAGCCTCTTTGAAACATGTTTGGATAAAGACACCCACAAAGAAGCTAGGCCAAGGGAATGAGGTGAGGAGAGGCGAGGGCGAGGGGTTTGGGCCACACACACAAGACGTAGACACAACACAATGGAAGGGAATAACTGAAACAGCGTCCTTAGCAAAACCTCATCTCATACAAAATAATGAATTAAGTTATTAGTTTTTCAATAACTAATTTTTAAAATTTTTCCAAATATTGTTTGCTTAACTCTGGAGTTAAATGGGAATTTGATCAAATATTTGTTAAAAAATAAAATAAAAGAATTATGATTAAGTAGAGTTATTACAGTAGTTTAAAACTCAATATTTTTATTATAGTTGTTGATAAAAAGGTTTAACAATTCACATTATAAAAATTTTTTTGAGGTTTTAAAATTGATAGGTAATCGAAATAAGTGGATTTTATTTTTCTATCAATTAATATCCCTGAGAGCTTGTTAAGACTAGTAACTGTTCCAGTTGTTGATGGGTAATAGTGTTCAACCCCAAAATCCTAGAAAAGATTTTGTATTTAAGATACAAAATCCTGAACTAGAACCATTGGGATGAACACTGCAAGGTTTGAGGGTAATTGACATGGAAATTATAACACAAAAGGTGTAACAGTACACTTAAGAAAAAAGAAAATGTAAAAAAAATTTAAAGTTTTTACAACACAACACTTAGTGCAATGTATTGCCCATGAAATATAACTACACTTTTAGAAACAAAAGTATTTGCACTTTGTATCATAATAGTATGTTGAAAGTAAGTTAAGAAGTATTTAACAGAAGTTAATTTAAAAATACAGTAGGTATCAAAGGTGTTTTGTTAAAATTTTACATCCTTTGTAAACTATCAGTTGTACAGCATATCACGAAAATATTCAATATCATCTACTAAAAACGAATAAACATGTAACATTACAAATGCTAATGAAACACTTGAAATTTGTCTTACTCAAAATATATAATACCCTCTCCGTGTACAAAATGAAGTTAAAAATATTCAGTTGATCACTTAACTGTATAAACATTCTTAGACATTGAATCTGATCTAGGCTTACCTTTCTGTGTACTCGTCCTGGTGGACATAGCTTTGAACAGAGTTTTCCTCAACCAAAAACTTGACTCTCTGATAGAACGAGGCGGTGACCGACGGCGGTTGTTTCCGAAGAAGCACTTCTACGGGATCGTTGGATGCCAGACACATAATGTGTTCATTACATGCTGGGTGAGAGCAGCACTCACTGTCTGAACAGTCTACCATGCCATCTGCAAGGGATCAGCTTGTTGGGTGTTGTATCATAATCTCAACATATTAGTTGATGTTCGATAATACTATTAATCAAAATAGCAGGCCTAAAAAAAATACTGCAATATTGTTAGATGAAGGAATGTCTAATATTTCATTGGAAAATGTATAAACTGTATAGAATAGATTGATAATCTGTGCTACTTCACCTTAGAAAAGGCATAGGATTATAAATTAATATGTTTTGTTGCTTAGGTCACAATGTATCTTCTTTACTAGATTTTAAATATTTTTTATTTTTGTAGCTACAGAGGTTAATTTAATTCACTTCAGAGGGTCATATTTATTTGGGTACGAAGGAATGAATCTGATTTAGTTCAGGTGAAGCAACCACAAAAGATAATTCAAGGGGTAGGAAAGCTCCACAAATGAATGATACATTTTGAAGTACAAAGATACAAGAGTTGTATTTATAGTATCTTTTTACAATTATGATAGCCATACCTTGGTCATTGTCAACCTCGTCATTACAGTCCATCTCCAGCCTGACACTGCAGTCCACACCTGCCCAGCCATCACTGCATTGGCACTGGTAATCTCCGTCCACAAGCACACAGCTGCCGTGGCGGTTACAGGCGTTTACACACCCGGCTACGTAACCAACACATTATGACACTAACTTGTTATAATCCGGTTACTAGTTAGGTACACAAATACAGGTAAAAATTATTTGAAAGCTTACTCATTTCTGGTATACTAAAGGAATGGCTGCCTGAACATTTTTCATTTTATCTATGTTTGTTAATCTAAGGGAGCCAGTCATGATTTTTGTTTAGATGACTTCCAAAAAATTAACTGTCTCCTCAGGCCTAAACAGAGAATTGAAAGTGATAATTTTCAAACCATTTCTATAACCGGTTCAACTTATTATTCAAGTCTTGTCCATAAGTAACGTTTTTGTGTTTCTTGAGCCATGATACATTCTTTGCTCAGGTATGCCTACTATCCCAAAAATCCTTAAGCTAAGCCCTTGAGTGCTATATGTTACATCAACATTATATAAAACCAAACACATACGTAGAGTGCAGTGTCGGCCATTCCAGCCCTGTGAGCAGACGCAGGTTCCGTTCTTGCATTGTCCGTGTTCTGCACAGCGTGAGTCGCAAGGTAGCAAGTCACATCGCTCTCCGCTCCAGCCAGGCAGACACACACATTGGCCTTGGTCACAGCGGCCGTGCACGCCACAGTCTAGGCTGCAAACAGCTGGAACAGACAATCATCATGATAAGACACTAAATGGAGGAAAAAACACCACGACACAGTGTTTTGACCTAGTATATTTAGCATCATGGACTTTGGTACGAGAGGGATACGTTCAATACCTAGCATATTTACATAGTTTGAGAGTTTTGGACTATCCCATAAAAGCGTTTATGATAGAAAAAAAATCTACTGTAATTAGATACAAAATAAAGTTGTACAAAGAAGTGTAAAAGACCTAAATTCCTTTTTAAAAAGGGAACCCAGGTAAAATGTCCAAGAATCTAAAGACATCTGAAAGAACTGTGAACTTGTGAGGAGATGAACATTATGGAAAACTGGTAAATTACTTGTATAAAAATGTTCCTTTGTACTGTAATACGTTAGGTTCTAAATCTAGATTATATTTCTACAATACCAAACAATCAGGAGCTATTTTTGGGCAAAAATGACTGAAGGATTTAGCATTGAATGAATGAGATGATAGCTTTTTTGCTGACAAGATTCTTTATAGCCAGGACCATTTACTTAACGCATAATGATCAAGGACAGCTGGGTCCAATATCAAACCACTCAAAAAGCTATAATGACTTTTCTCAGTGATTGAACCAGTAAAATTGTAAATCTTTAAGCAAACACTATAACCACTCACCTACCCAGCTCCATATGTAGCACATTTTATGTGAAATGTCTAATTGGAGAAATAAGGCAATGGCTGATCTCTAGATTTTTACCTATAAAGGATATAATGGAATGGTAGATTTTTATAAATTGTAAAAGGTATTAACTTCATGAAATTAATTTAAAACAAGTCTAGGTAAACAGTTGACCTTGAGAAATACCAACTTCTTTGTCAAGAGCCGTAAGAGTTAAGTATGCATTTTTTGTGGTTTGTAAGTCAGCTTATGTATTTTTAGACCAAATAATCATTAGTTCTTGGTTCTATAACCTTTGACAGTGGTTTTAGTTAGTAATGTGTGGGACTTCAAAGAGTTTTGTTTGTACAATAATTAAATCTACCTTGAGAACAATCTGGACCAGTCCAGAATTCCTCGCAGATGCAAGCTCCAGTCTCCAAATCATATGTTCCATGTTCTGAACACCCTGGAAGACACTGGTACACCTTTTGGTCCACCTGTTAATCAGATAGTGTTGTTAAAGAGTGCATGCCACTTATTTACCAAAACCGTACAACATATATTTACTATCAGCACCCTGCATTGAGCCAAAATTTGTGGAATTTTAAAGTTCTTGGCCTTGTCTTCTTAACCCTTCGTGGACGGGTGACGGATATATCCGCATATGGTTTTTGATGTTCTGGAAGGGAAGCGGTTATATCTGCCTTTTCTTCAGACAGACTGGCAGGTGCTTGAGCAGTAACCAGATGTTTCGCGGTACCAAGGCGCCACTTTCCTGCTCTTTCCATGACTGCTCTCTCCCCCGCACTCCCCCCTCACTCCTGCGCCAACCCCTCTCCTGCGCCTCACCCCCTTCCACGCACCTACCACCCCTGCTACGCTCCCCCCCTCTACGTTTCGTGCCCAATATTACGTTGTCTTTATTTATTGTTTACATATTGTTCTTTATTTATTGCCTAACATTGTCATGGGTTTCAAAGACGGGTGGCGGATATATCCGCTGCATTTCTACTCATCCTCGGACTGGTAGCGGATATATCCGCATAGTTAAATACGAGTAAAAAATTATTTGTACAGTATAATGTGTTCCACTGTGTTTATTTTATGTATACATGTATAACAAAACCCATAAATGAAAAATTAATTTTTATTTTTTCCTCTATTTTTTCTCCGTCCTATGTCATGATTTTGCCCGTCGGAAGGGTTAATATAATTTATTTTTACTATCTTTTAATTTGCACTGTATGAACACACAGGATTGTAAAAATATTCTCCTACAATTTTAGTAATATAAAGCAGAGTTTTTTTAAAATAATTTTAAATAGATAGTTTACTTAACACATAGTGAAATGTGTTGTCAGTCATTGATATCAGACAATAAACAAACTATAGTGGACACTAAATAAATATAAATATCAGAAAGAGCATCATTACAATTTAGCGGACAGAATTGCAAGAACTATATCATTTGTCTTGCAGAACTTACTGTGTATTATGGAGAATATAATATTTTTTCTACACAAAACACGTAGATAAAAAAATCCTCAACTGTCCACCAAAGACTACTCAATGATAATCAAAAGCAAGGACAAAAGTATCATGGTGGTTGAAGTTACATGGGGGAAGCCTGCAGAGATTAGAAAGTGTAGGCAGCTGCTCTTGAACAAGAAATATGTTTTCTTTACCAATGTAAGATTATAGCACCGAGCTATTTGATGGTAACTTTTATGGTGAGAAAAACTAGTTTAAACAATCTGCACTAATGACACAACTGTAAAATCCCAAGCTACTTACATGCAACCATATGATTTTAAACCCCCCTCAATATCTCGTACTACTATCTATGAATTTACTATATTAATACAGACTTTTTTGAGGTATGGACAAAACAAGTCAATGTCTTCGTATAATTATTAGTAATTCTAACCTAAATAATGGGAATACAAAATATTAGTTTTTTTTAAACTGTTAAAGTGGATTGTAAGATTTGTATTTACCTGAGAGCAGTTAGTTCCCTGCCAGCCAGCTTTGCAGTAGCACCGTCCCATGACGCAGGACCCATGGCCCGAACACGACGGGTCCACACAGTCCTCTGTCAAACATATACCATAGTTATGAGTCTACCACGGTTTATATGTATGACATGCTGTGGGATCTCTAATTGTGTAAATATGTAAAAAATCACTAAGAGACTGGTTTTTGACATGTCACAATATGAGTTGAAGTTTCGGGTAACTAGAAATGCTTTAAGGATTGTAAGAAATTTATATTAGAAAAAGTCAACAATTCAGGATAAAAAAATTAAGATATTGATATTATTTCTCATGATTATTACTCATGATTAGTAGGTAACATAGAGTCACAATGTTTCAGAATCTAGTCTATTATCATTTCTATTAATTTCTCTTATCTATTAACACTACCTATTCAATTTTTTTCTGTGGGCCTTCAAATAATTATTTTGTTGAACATAGTGACAACTTAAAAAATGCTAAAATAGCTAATATTGCAACTATAGATGCAACCTCATAGGGGAAAAACAATGATTGATTAAAAATACAAACTGTTAAAAACTTTTCTAATTGTTAAGGTTTAACTTTGTCTCAATAAGAAACTAGTACCTATACTAAATTATAAACAAGAAATAAAAAGAGTTAAAACTAGAAATCTAAATCAAATAAATATCAACATATTGAAAGGTATTCACATGAAATAATAATGATGAAGGAAATACGAATATCAACAAAGTTAAAATAGCTTTCTCCAAATTCACCAAGAGATAACCCGAATTTCGTCTGCTCACATCAAACAGTTGAAAGGCACAAACAGCCATTAGTAGAAACAACTTTGTTGGTTAGTCAAAGCGTTGTTTAGAACTTGCTTTTGTTTAGAAGTCCCACAGAACCTGAAGCTTATTCTTGCAAGATGCCTTAGGTTACATAATTCTCAAACTTTATTTAAGTCTGAACAACTCTGTAATATAGTTTATTCCAACCTGGAATTCTCAGTGGGCTTTTAAGTTTGAAGGTGATCGGAAATTTGTTATTGAGCTTTTTACAATTGGCGATAAAAGTGGTTATTTTTGGATAAAATATTTCGGATTTGGGGATGTTTTAACAAATTAGCTTAGTTGGATATGGAAGAATGACATGTTTACGTTTATTCATATTTTGGTGGAATACAGTACCTATTAATATTTTTTGATTATTATTAGATTTTTAGATATTGTAAAATGAACAGTACTGTCAGCTGTTTAACACTTAAAAAACTAATTATAAATTTAATTAAATATTTTTAACAGCTGTATACTTTTTTTAAATTTGCTATTAATAAGCTTAGCACCTTCAGCTTTTGACAACTAGGGTTTTTGAATGTCAAGGGCTAACCTTATTATATAATTTTGCTCAAGAATAGAGGAAAAAGATGTTATTTATAAAAGATCACCAAACAATATTTAGTAGTTCAGTTGTCATGTTAAACATATTATTTATTTAATAGACAAATTACTCATTAGTCCAAGTTGAGAACAGTTAGCAGCTTTTTGACTGTATAAGATAGACACATCCGTCCTTGTTAATGGAGGTAAAAAAAAAAAAATCTGGCTAAGAACTAGCTGATTGTAATCAGTAACAAGCCTTATCTTGTCCATAATCTCATAATTGCCTTTAAAGACATGTCATGTTGTGTCATCATTATAATAAGGAATTGCCCCTAGCAGCTCCATATAGTTGGGATTTATTCCTCAGTATCCAAAAGTCAATGAAGCTACAGACTTGTATAAGGATTTGCGAACTCCTGTTTCTAGGCAAGCACTATAACTACTCAGCTACCTAGCATTTATAGATGTGAATTTGACTTTAGTGGCTTTAGCTTACGCCCTCATTTAATTTCAAGTCCAAATTTCTGTATGATAACATCTGTATGACAGTAAATAATGTGAAATCCCACCGATGTTGCAGGCAGGACCTTTCCAACCCGGCTGGCAGACGCAGGAACCCCTGATGCAGCGACCGTGTCCTGAGCAGTCTGCAACCTGACAGTCGTGGAGGGGAATGTCACACTCCGCGCCTTTCCATCCCTCCTCACAGTGGCACAACCCTCCACCGTACTTGCCGTGGTTGGAGCACAGAACTGGACACACACCTGCAAAAAACAGCTGATTGAGAAACAAATACAACACTTGACTTGGAAATACTTTAAATACTATAGGAATATCAATACTGGTTATGGATTGTTAAGCAGAAAGTTAGACATAAACAAAAGCTGTAAATTGAAGGAGGAAACCAGCGAGTAAATTAGTTGTGAAAAGAGTTATATTATGAAAAATAAATTAATATGCATTAATGGAAGGTTGAATTATCACTTAAGGAAAATTGTGTTAAATTTAATTATAAGTTTTAAAGTGAGAATTTAAATATATAAGTTACGTAAGTTAGCAAATCTTTGGTTGGTCTTTTTCAATCTTGAATTTTCCTGTCCACATGGGCCTCATGAGTGTGTGTAGAATTTACCAACCAAAATAAGAGGAAAGTGTCAAGAATCAAGGCTACTCATAAATTTTAGTGGTTAGCAAAAGGCAAACCCCCAACATTGCAGCCTGGTTTCCTAGTCCATCGCTACTGAGCCAACAGCTCAATAATTTGATGGGTAAACATTTTGCACAAGAAAACCCAAAAACCTCTCAAATGATTATTCTCCACCAATCTAACCAAATCACTTGGTCTACTTGGTCACTACTAAAACATGGAGCACTTGAAAAATTTACTTACTTTTGGAACAGTCTATCCCTTCGAATCCGTCAATGCAGTCACACTTGCCCAAGTAGCAGGAACCATGACCGGAGCAGTCGTTGGGACAAGCTGTGGAAATCCCCTCGGCCTCCTCAATGGTCAAGATGACTTCGTGGACCTGCAGGTCGTCATTGTACAGTGAGACGTACCACCGGCCGGTGTCTAAATACTGCAGCAGTGTGACGTTCACCAAGAGATGACCGTTGGTTGATCGCTTGGTGATTAAGTGGGCCTCCGGATAGAGAGATCTGCTGTTCCACTTGTCATTGTCTGCGGTGTCTTCAAGGTCATTGGTCTTTGAGGAGGACTCAGAAAACTGACTGCTCCTCTCACCCAGAAATGTTGGACTGAAGTGATGAAGTTGTTCACGTAACCTAAGACCAGACTTAACTTGTTCAAAATCATATAGGTAATTTGTAATAAATCAATAGTAAATATAATTATATTGTAAATGGATGCTATAAAATTTTAGCGGCTTTCATAGAATATAACGGTTTTGTTAAAAAAAAAAAAAAAAAAAAAAAAAAAAAACTATGGCTACAACTACATGGGGTTGAATGATTAGTTGTATTTAAACAATTTTTTATGTTGCTTAAATTTGCAAAATGCAAAAAATGTATACCAAACATGGCACATTTTTTAAGAAAATGTCATTAATAAATATAATAAAATAACAATGAAAAGTTAATCATAAACAGTGATAAAAGTCAACCCATTTTACTATTTCTACTACGGTATAAATGTAAGATAAACCATAATACACTTATTTTAGAACATCAACCAATACTCATTTTATTAAGCATTGACTTAAAAATACAAATACAAACACTTTTGTTGAACAAAAACAGTTAAACCGCTTTCAACTAGTTGAATCCTCCTTTTAAACTGAAAAACTGAGATAATCCAAAATGAAAATAGGTTAAGGCTAAGTAGAGAAAAGTTAATATTTGCCCTGCCATAACCAAGAGATGATTATAAATACTAGCAATTCTTAGAGTGCACTTAACTAATAATGGGTTTTTGCTTGTGTTGGGTGGTGGAGGGGGAGGGGGTTTGCGCAATAAGTGAGAAGTGCAATTCTGCGGTGGACTGCTCTCCGCCACAAAACCTTGCCTTCATTATGCTATTTACTTGTTGCGATTATGAAAGCAATTCATTTGTGGGATTCATAAACCGTCTTAGTGTTTCTAACTGGTTCTTTTATAGGATTAAAACTGTTTGTGTAAAAAAATTACAGTTTTAAATATAAAGGTGAGTTTTTAATATAGGCGTATATAAAAAAATTATTTGTTGACCATGACCATTTACACTATAGATTTTGGTAACCAGCTTTTAGAACAATTACTTCATCTTTGATTAAACAATTTTATATGTTGTTATTTTCAGTTCTATCATATGTAACTCAATCAGCTATTTCTAAAGGGTTTCACCCTTGACGGTTGTTGGAAGTAGATGTCGATTACTGATTTATGTCAAATACACAAACCTATCAACGCCAGATTACAAGGTCTTGTAAACAATAGTATCTTTTATGTCCTGATAAACATCATAGTACCAAAATATTAAGGATTTCAAATTTCAACAGCACAAAGCTCGGTGGGTAATTCAACTATGCACTGATTGAATAAAAAATTAACTACAGCTGGTTGAAAAAGATTAATGTCTACCTCAGTATCCAAAAAAATCAATGGTATCACATGTTGTTCAACTACATATTTGGTTTTATTGGAGGATTGTCCATTTCCGATCAGTAAATTCCTGAATACATCTGATCTGTATAAATTAGGTGACCACTACCATAGCCTTCTGTAATACAAGGCCGCGGCAAGAGAAAAGTGGCAACACCGCTGCCCCAGCAAACCGAAACAGCTGTTGCACAAATTTATGTAATGGAGCGTATAGGCAATGCTTATGTTTTGTTATTTCTGTCATTTACCATGGCAATAGGCATGCCGTTGCGACATTGCCAGTGCCACACACCAACACTGTGGCGTTGTGTTAGAGGGAGGCTATGCTACTTTGCCAAAGTCCCAAGTCTCACCTGGCGTTTTCAGATATCAGAGGTGTAAAGCTGACAGCGTGTTGGAAGTCGGACAGGAGTTTATTGGTCTCTCTTTTTATCCTGTGGTCGACTCTACCACCTTTCACAAACTCCGAGAAATCATACTGCGTGATACTAGGGGCGACGTTGCGTCTCCCGTAGACAGCAAAGTTGGCACCCCACGGTAGACTCATGTTGAATCTGCAGGAGTGGATCAGTTAAAACTTGTCTCAAATGTAAACATTAAAGTAAGTGTGTAATGAAAATAAATTATAGTTAAACCAGGTATTGGGAAATACTTTACAAGCACAGTGATGCAGTATTGCAGTGTTTCCGTGTTAAAGTGTTACAGCATTATGTATCAGTGTAACAGAGGTTTTGCATGGTTCTAATGTTGTAGTGTTACAGTGTATTAATTGGAGTGTTGTTATGGTTTAATGTTGCATTTTTACATGATTGAAGTGTTAATAGCTATTTACCTTACAAGTGTAGTAAGAGCGTTTTTACATCAGACAGGTTCACTAGTTCACCTAAGTGATGTAAACACGCTCTTGTGTAACATGAAACGTACAAGATTTTACCTTACCCGACTATATACAGGGGGTTACGTACAATATTTTTCATTATCCATTTCACTCATCTTCTAACAGTAATGTTATTTTATTTTACAAACAAAATCTAGGTTAGGAACATTTTTTAAAGTATAACAATAAAATTCAAGCACATAGCTGATTTCTAGTGTTAAACGTCGTTGGCTCTATAGTGGTATAATTTTTTAAGTTGAGCACGCAATGTTTTTTAAATGGGTTTCATTACTTCACCGAGTGAGTTTTTGAAACTTTATTTCACTTGTGAAGTAAAGAAGTTGTATACATTACGCTTGTGATAGGGAAGCTTAACATGGCTTGTTAGGTAAAATATTATAACAGGTTTCAGTATTTAAGTATTACATTATTGTTATTAAGAAGTCAAGACAGCAAAAATATAATTGATCAGGAAAATTGTCAATTCAAAATTAATATAGAAGGAAATTTCCTTCACTCATATTTTGGTTAAAATACGCACTTAGTGGCGTCCCCATCTTAAATAATTGATAATTGATAATTGATAATTTCCATAATAATTCCTATCCCTTGCAGTAATCATGTAGAAATAATTATGCTGCAATATTAACATAAATGTGTCCTGTATCTCTTCTTGACAATATAATTAAGTTCTTCAATATTGAATCAAACTGTGTAAAAAAACTTACAAAATTCAGTCATTAGAATAAAATTATAGATTAATAAATTTATGTTAAAACTTGAAGGCACTACACACTACATACTATCCTACTTCATACAACCAATAAAGAACTAAATCTACTTATTCTGGGACAAATAAGTTAGTTAAAACAATTTTGTAACAAAAGTAGTTTTAAAAACTGATAAATTTAGTCAAAAACTTACAAGGTTTTAAAAATGTTGCATGCAAAATGAGTTTGTAGCCCTTTTTTAAATACAGTACAATTATGGCAGAGAACATTGAAAAGAAAATAATGTTTCAGAAGTGAGTTGATGACATTAATGTGCAAAAGAGAGAAAGAGAGAAAAAGAGAGAGAGAGCGTACTACACTCTGCTTCGACACCCTTTTAGCAGTTTGTATTCACAAGGTTTTAGCTTTTATCATTAACATTATTCATTTTTTACCTTCTGTATAAATAGTTTGATAATTAATTTAAAAGTCTTAAAGTCTAAAAGCCAATTTTCAAGAATAAAATATTAGATAAAGATGGTGTACTCTGGTACCTATCTAAAATCTATTTAAAGTTTTATCATTGACTATTGGATACTGTTGTATTCATAGTCAACGGTTTTATATTGTACAATCAAGGTACTTGACTGTTTTAAATTTATTTACTTAAGATTACGATAGAAATCAGAGTCCTTAAACAGTAAATGGATTCGAAGGGATGGTGGGTTGTACTCCATTAGCATGTATACGAGGATATATTTTGGAGGGATTCATGAATATTTCCCAACCCTCTTAGCTGTTTCTTGTGCCACTGATTTTCTGGTTTGTATCAGTAAGAAACCATCTGATTTGCCTTATATATTGTATCACGTTTATGAGGGTTTATGGGCCATTTTTAACTACTAGAGAAATAATTTTTATAAAGATGAATTGCGTAAACCACATAAAATTCCAAAAATATTAAAAAACTTTGGTAACACAAAAAAATTCTAAATAAAATTAAAAAATGTGTGACAACTCTTTTGGTGAGAAGAAACGATCTCTGGTTAAACTCAGAGCTGGTAAAACAGAATTTGTCACTAAAAAAGTGGGAAAAGAGGAAAAAGTATTTCTTGCCAGAGAACTTTAGATATGATAGGTCATTGTTTTTTAGATGACTAAACCAACAACTTACGTGGCCTTGGAATAACTGCTTCACAACGTTATCTACTAAAAGTGATTTGTGATTGGTAAAATTTGAACCAGGGTCTCCAAGACAGAAGTTTTACACTCTAAATTCTGGACAAGCCTCGCCTGGTGTGGAAGCATATAGTCTTTGTGATGGAACCTATCACCTGACCCTCCTCCGTCTGCAAAGCGGTCTGACTAATGGTTTAAGGCCAGAGCCAGTTCCAGGTTGGATGGAGGTTACAAAAACATATAGTTTGTAGTGTGTCAGGAGACAGGTTCCATTTCATACACACTATTTATAATAATTTTGTTTTTATTTATTAATTTTATACGGTAACAAAAATTTACTTACAAACTGCCTTAAATTCCGAAATTATATTAATAACTAAATATTATAGTTACAGTAAATTTTCAAAGTTTGATGGATAACTTGATTAGTGAGTATTTTGACCCCCCCCCCCTGTAGTAATTTGCATCTTTTTCAGTACCTATTTTTTTTATTAAAAATTATATTGTACTTACAATGGGATTTGGACTTGTTGCCCAGTTCTGGATTGATGGACAACAAAACTAACACAAAGCACCAAATACCAGTTTAATTAATCAAATCAACACATTTTCCCCACAAACACACATTACCTGATGAAGGCTGGTTGCTTGTTCCTAAACTGGATGTTCCAGAACTGGGCGGGGGGGATTGTGGTTCTCTGAGGGGCTCTGAAGGTGTCAATCTCCAGATCAAGCTGAGGATATTGCTGTTGACTCTGGTCACTGGAAGCAGCCAGGCTGGGGCTCGGCCCCCATCCTCCCGTAGTGCTGGTCGATAGTGACTCTACAACAAAACATGAGCATAATCATTGAAACCATTGGACCAAACTGGAAAAACTGTATCAATTCCCATGGCAATTTATTCCCAAGAAGATACAAAGCCTTGCCAAATAACAGCTTACTCTTCCTCCAATGATGTGTGTTTGATTTATTGGCTCTCAGCTTTTTCATGATTTTTTTGCTAAATCAGGCTGGATCATCGATCTCTATTATTGTATAGAGTGGTTATAGTGCTTGTCTGACAATCAAAAGGTTGCTAGTTTTTGATCCTGATGAAAGTCAGTAGCTTTTTGTTCTTGGAAAATGTGCCCAGCTAACGTTGATGATAGGACTTGTAATACATGCCTAAATAAACAGCTGATGATGTTAGCACGGCCTCCTTAGTCAGCAGAACAAATAAAATACCCCCGCCGCAGCAAACCTGCAGACTAAGCGAATTTCCATTTACCTGGCAGGATTTCTACTAAAATATTCTCTAAAAAATTGTCAGATTTATTTCCTATTAAAATTACATTAATTTTAGTGAGTACTTAGGTTTGCTGCTACAGGGAACATACTGTTTGTTAAAATATATCCATATACAAGCAAACTACAAATATATCGCACTAGCGGACACTCACACACAACATATATATATATATATATATATACATATAGACACATATATACACATACACATACATACACATACATGTGTACATACACATACATGTGTACATACACATACATATATACATATACACACATATATATATATATACACAAATTTGAACGGATGGTGTTTTTGGCCTCTAGGGACCTCAAAACGAAAAGGAAATCGGTTCCGGATCTAGGTCTTACCATAAGACATACGATAATAGCTTATTATATGAGAAATTCGCTAAAAGCTACTTAGCTCATCTGACTTCAATCTTTTCTCAACTTGCACTCATATTTTTAGCTTAAAATAAACGCATCTAGGTGGTAAATTGCTGTTTCAAATTAATCCAGTAAATAAGACTTTTCCTCTTTCCACCACTTAAGATTTTCAAACTTACTATATTCATTTATATTATAAGAAACTTTACCTTCAGTAGGTGTTTGAACAGATGCCGTCGAGTCTCTAGCCATTTGGTCATCAGCAGCAATCACTTTGGCGTCTTCCACCAGAATACAACTGCTCGGATCCAAATTCGATCTCATCGAATTTACTGCTGCAACATATATCCCCTCATATAACTACTGAGTTTCATCTATAAATAATGGTTCCTATAAAACCTTCTTTTTAGTCAACATAACCAACTTTGGTTCTAGATTGAACAAATAAATGATATTATAGTTTACAGTTTCTAATAATTTTGTTATATGTTAATAAATTAAGTTTTCTGGTACTAACTAATGAACAGAAATGGTAAAGTTCAACAGAAAAGAAGCTTAAAATAAACAATCTTTAAAATACAGTAATCAGAAATTCCTATTATCAGTGATGAAATTAATACAGTATTTTAATGAACCTTCCCTAATTATACAATTAATTATTTAAATTAATTTTTGAATCGGCAATATTCCTGTAGACAGAAACATTACAAAAATAGCTTGCCAGGAATAGAAACAGTAAATTTTGGATTGAAGGTATGGCTTCTCAGAGGGGCTCATGAAAGTGAAATGGGTCGGAATAAACAAACAAGAAAAGAAATAAATCTTTCACCCAGGAATCTTCTTTCCTAAAATTCTACACGCTTCTTGGAATAGAACTAAAAATTGATTGGCTAAAAGAGCAACAAAAACATAGCTGCTAACATTGAGAAACAACGTTTGGATGGTAAACAAATTGGAATAAATTTGCGTTTTGTTGGTTAAGAGACGATGCATTTTTTAAACCATACTTTGCTATTAATACAAAATTTAAATCAACCAATCTTCCCCAAACACAAACAGCTCATTACCATGATTACCGGTTACGAAGGGAAAGAATGGGAATCATTTAAATGTACTTAGCAGAAAAACGAGATGAAAGTTTAGAAAGGGGAAGGGATTGCTGGAGTCGATGTCAAATGCTTGAGGAATGACACAAAAACTTTTAATTACTGGGAGCTTTGTAATATGGCAGTAAAAGAAACGCCTAAATAAGCTTTGTCTCCTTTATGGGACTAAGAGAAATGGTTCTCTGCGTTATTTGAAGAGAGGAACTTTCAGCAGTATAAATTACTTTTTTAATGAGAAACTACTACTAATGCATTATTCTTTCTTATTAAAACTCTGCAGGATATTGAAAGAGACTGAAGGAAGTTTCATTCTCATCCAAAGGACTGACAGCTCTCTATCTCCACATCTACCGTTTGACGTCTTAACTTCCTTGCTGGAGTATATCAGGTAATCTAAACAATCAGAGTTTACCTTTGATTGCAAAGGCCAAACAAGTGTAAAACGATGCTGAAATAAAATTGAGAAGTCGTTCAAGTATAGTTTGATTGAGGTTATGTTTAGATCGTGGTTATAATTTAGTTTGTGTTTGTTTAAGATTATGTTTCGGTCAGTTAAAATTAGGAATAGATAAAACATACTCCCTTGTTTAGGCTATGATGAAATAACAGATTCGATATATCTACTTAAGAAATATAAATGAGGACGAACTATTCTATTGACGTAAATAAAAAGGACAATGAAATTCTGGTTTCAAACAATGTTATCGTATTTGAATAATTGTGTGATTAGAATGAAATTTTTAAATCCTGCTGGATCAAGACTGGTGGCAGTGGCAAGACCTTGTTAAAAGTTGTTAAATCAAGATGAAGTTGAAGGAAGTATTTTAAAACTCACACAACAGAAACACATTTCAAGTTCTGCCAAGTTGTTGCAAGTTTTAAATAACAAACAATTTTTGCCGTTCGTATTTAAACTTTCTACATTTGGTAAAAAAGTTAAGCCCTCTGAAAGTGTATTTATGATATTTACTGCAGTTCAAGCTCGGATTGAAGTTGAAATATGAACTTTGCTTTTATTCCTCAAGGTGAATGATTAAGAAACGAAATAAACTGGATAGAAGCTGTTTGTGGTGTTTGAAACTTAGAACATCTTTTGAATGGTTGGTTCATAACTGAACAAATGCTTTCGAGTCTTTTGATATATCGGTTCTTTTTACTGGCTTGTCATTTATAAATTAAAATAGGTTTTATAATTAGGACTATAAATTACTTATTTTAATCAAAATACACATGTTGGACTAAACTTAAGCCAAGTGTGTGTGAAAAAATTTAAAGCAATTAACCATTTTAAAAGACCTTAACAAATAATTGAGCATCATCAGCGTGTTTGAGGAAACTTGATACACAAATTTGAATCACAACTTTATTGTAACTATCCAACTTTATAATCCAAATCATAAACGTAAACCTACATCAGTCATGGAGGATTCCAAGCCGTCGATTCCGGACTCAAAGGCGTATTTCATAGGACTACCGATTGTTTCGATCCGATCCAACAGATTGACATTCGATATAACATAAGGTTGACTTTAGATAGTAAAGTAAAACCTCATTAACTCGACAGTCAAAAACTGACAGGGCGAACTCAAAAAAGCAAATTTTCAAAACATGTTAAATCCAATAAATTTTTGACCATTTAGAATTTTAAGAGTGTTTACTCATAAAAATAATCATTTATGTAATACATTTGATGTATGTACAAATTAGTCAATTATGTATACATTTATTAAAACCCAATATACATTTCAATGTTCTGGATAGCTCGACAACCTCTGGGTCCACGAACTGTCAAGTTGGTTAGGTTTTACTGCAACCAGATCAGGGGTTTTTGTGGCATAAACCAAAATAAGTTTATACCTTACCTAATCTGACCTAAAACTCTTGACCCCTGACCACCTTGACGAACCCCCAGTCTTGGACAATGGCAGTGGGGAAGTAAAAATCATGATTTAGGCCTTACCTGGCTCATCATAATTGAGACCTAACCTAACCTCACCTAGAGTCTCAACCCCTAACAAACCTGACGAACCTCCAGTATTAAGGAGCGTGGCGGTGAAGATGAAGTACGAAAGTTTTTTTTGACAGTTTACCTTACAAAAAGCTTAACAGAACATGGGCACCCGCAGGATTTGGAACAGGGGGGTGCAATAGATAACGAACACCCGGGGCCTTCCCCGGGAAAATGTCTTCAATATAGTGTTTCAAAACAAAATTTTACACTATTTGCACCCCCTTGCACCCCCCTGTGGGCGCCCATGTAACAGAACACAAAACATCCAAATAAGATCCTAAGATGCTCACTAAATAGTTAAGTATACCGACAACACGTACACTGACCTCCGAAGTAGGCGAGCATAGCGGTGAGGACGACAGACACGAGGATAAGTGCTATACTGCAGCATTTCCAGGAGCAGCGGTGGCGACATCGCTTGTCTATGTGGAAGCGGGAGGGAGAGTAAGGTGAGTATTGGGGCGCCGAGCCACTGGGTCGTAGAGGGAACACGGGCATGACGGCAGGAGGTGCTGATGGAGCTGAGACTAGCACACCTCCACCGGCCGTCGTCGTGGAGGACAGCGTCGAGCCCAACCTGCAAAACAGAGGGTTAAGTTAAAAATATGAGTTACCTTAAATGTATGAAGGTACGATTGCAACGTTGTGATACTCGTTTCTCCTGTATACCACTGTCAAATACCTCACAATAGATGGTGAGCCAATTAATATTTGGAATTAAACAAACTAGAAATAAGTTGGATACGATAGGCTTATTAATAAAGAGATAGCTGTAGATATATAGTGTATGGCCAATTTTGTTTCCTGGATACCTGTTATACGACCTGGACAGTGTTCTTTGTATTGAGATTACAGTTTTTTGTGTACATTAACCGTTTGATGAAAGTGCTACACATCTCATAAGCGAATGTAATGCTCTTTTCAAGGAGAGTTGAACTCTTTGAAAACTCTGAGATTAACTCATCCAATTTCTTTGAGATTGTAATGATTTCACTCGATATGGTTAAAGGGTGCATCAGACAATGTTATGCATTGGAGTGGCACAGATAGTCAAAAGGCGAACGTGTAAAGGCCCTGGTTATCCGCACAATAAACGCAAATAAAGATAATTTTGGTCCTAGAAATAAAAATAAACATTACATTGAATGAATTTTGGGTACGTTGAAAAATAGATTCCGATTGGTAAGGGGTGGGGGGGGGGAATTTCAGTAGTTCAAGTTTTATTAACTTCAACAGAAACATAACCTAGTAGAGCACTAATTGTGAGGGATCTAAATCCGTAGTGGGGTGCCGCATACTAGTGGATGAAACAATAAAGAAAATTGTGTTGCATAACACTTCTCAAACAAAGTTGGTAAATAAAGTTTCAGCAAATTATTTAAATTAAGTCTTGCTGTATTATGTGCAGTACAATACGAGAGTGGGGCAAATTTACTAGATAACCCAACCTCGTCACCTTAGAGATCTGTTGACACAGAAGGGTCGAGTTGTTGCATTTATGTTTTTTTGAAAAAAAAAAAAAAACAAATAACGATAATTTATTTATGGTTTGAGGCGATGGCTGTTATAATCTAATGATGATTAACTAATTGTATAAACTAGTTTTCGAGCAACAATAAGTAAATTCTCTCCCTTTTTTGCTTCATTTTCAATTAGTGTGAAAGACTAGGAACAAAGGTATGCTTTCAGAAGAAATAATAATGAATAGTTGTTGAGAAAGGTTGGCGTAATAGAATTTAGCCCATTGTTGAAAAAAGCCCTGATTAACATAGCTATTAGAAGAATTTCAAAGACGGCGTTTCTTGCTTTAATCAACTTCACAAGTTTCTCACAATCAGATTTTTACTTAGTAAATGGTTAATTGTTGTATCAAACATGCATTTTGGTCTTTACCAAGTGGGGTATATAATTAAAAGGCATAGTTATTTCAAATAAAGAGTGGTTTAAAGAGAAAATCCTCGTTGCAGTGTACAATGGATTACAAAATTATAGAGTGGATCCAACCAAATACTCATATTAGTGTTTTGTAATCAGAAATTTACTTAGATTACTGGCTGTTTTAGCACTTTCTGTCATATATCAACATTAATAATTTACTTAAAACCCCTCTAAGATTATATTGTATTTAAACATATTTCTTGAGAGTTGATGGCCGTTATTTTAATCATTAAGACATAACTTTTTTAATAATTCACTCCAAATAAAATTACTGCCAAGGAAATGTTACTTTCTGTCGTTGGTACAATGAACCTTTGAAGCAAAAGAGCTGATACTCTTTTGTGTACGAAAACAGAACAAAGTGAAACATCATCTATGAAGAGTACCCAAAGGAGAATGGGCTTTATATTTAGTTTGTTAATGGGGGTGGTTTGTTGATGATTATTATGGGTCGTTGAAAAGAATTCCTCCGTAATTGTGTAGGATAATTTTGAAGCTTTATAAAGAATAGTAAAAACAAGAGTTTGGGAACAGATAACGCATCCAATAATGTTTTAAATATTTTTCAATGAGTAGTGTAGGTTCTTTAATTTTATCACGTAACCAATTCCCTAGTTAATGTTCTTTGCTATTTTTTTAAAAGTACGAATATTAAAAATTGACTTTGAATAACGAAACAGACATCCCACTTAAATGGACCAGCTACAACTAAATGCACGGTAATCTAAAAGAGGAGATAGTTTAGTACATAATATTATTTTTGAAGATTCTTTGTTTATCCTTCTATGTTAGTTGGAGGACGCAGAAAAGATAAGATTGATTCCAAGGAATTGTCCCTTTAGTTTTGAGACATTATGACTTAAGTTTCGGTACCAGAAGAACAACTATATGTTACAACAGCCTACCCTATCAGTAGCACTAATTACCTCTTTTTACTGCAAAACGGACAACAACCTTAAGAATGTTATGAGGTGTCTATTTTATGTTAGTTTATTTATGGTCAAAGTTAAAACTAAATACAATTACTCCAAACATAATTTATGACATATAATTACTCTAACACTATAACAATAGGCGTGTCGCTCTATTAGTGATTAGCCTAGCACTTATAGTGCCAGAAAACGGGATAAAAGTCCTTCAAACTAAAAATTTGTTTATAATGATAAGAGGAATGGATCCATTGCATTTAAACATTCAGCGTCGTTTGAAAAAAAATGTATTAAAAAAAATATAATTTATGACAAAACCCACGCTTAAAATACCTTAGAGAGACCTACTTTAATTTTAACCAACAGATCAAATTTCACGTTTGTTTAAATGCAAGCAAAAGACAGCTTTGCACAAAGATTTGCTCATATTAAGTTTAATTAGAGACAACCTAGTTACAAATACAACTCGAGTCTTACCACCGCAATCCCCGGGCCTAATTATACTCCACAGCATCTTGTATTCTCTTTCAACTGTTACTCTACGGGCGAATTGTTAATAGTTTATACGTTACAGATTTAATTTAATCCTGATTTTTATTTGTAGTATAATTACGATAGATTTAAATTTTGATGTAAAGAGAGATGTGATCAAGAAACAATTGTCTAAAATATCTCAAATTTTCTTTAAAATCATGTCGACTTAGTACTGGTAGTTGGTATAAGCCGAAAATGGGGATGAAGTAAAATCATTGTGTGACTTTTATTTTAGAGATTTCTAGTACAGAAAAATTGTTCTTACCAGAAAGACTACAAGACTCCTTTTAAATTTTTAGATGGATGGATATACAGCTTAAAGTGGGAACACTAATACAAAAATGATGACCTATACAGGGTGGAAAAAAGTTAATAATAACGATAAAGCTTGGTATAAAGTCACTGGTCATAAAACAATTTAAAACATTAATCAGTGAGACGCTACCAAAGAAGTACAATACTTATAGTTCCATGTAAGCTACCTTCTCAGGGGGACGAGACGGTAGGAGCCAGAAGAAAATCTTGAATGTAAGCACAGGTTGATATTAAAATCAAATCAAGTCTTTATTAGACGAATACAATGCCGCAAATTTGGGCTCAAAAGAACAAAGATTTCTTGAAATTGCAATGCAATTTTGTACGCTACCTCTCCAGGACGGCACCCGCTAGCAGTTGGAACACAATCATAAATGAAAACATAGGCCAATACGTACATCAAATTAAAGGTCTTAATTACAAAAATACAATGCCACAAATTTGAGATAAAAAACAACAGAGTAAAAAAATGGCAGCCGTTTAAAGATTTAATATTACAAATCTTTGAGCGGCTGCCATTTTTTCACTCAGTTGTCCGTTTGAGTTTGAGGCATTGTAAAAACCAACATTAAAAACATAACAAAAACCTTTAATTTGATATGCATATAAACCTACGCTTACATTTAATTCGACTTCGTCTCGAACATAAAATATGATCTCGAGTCAGCAAAACCTCATTTTCGGCCCTAGGTACGAAATATACTGTTACAATTAATTGTATATACCAGGATGTTTGTGTTGGAAACGTACAACATTTTTTGTATCTGTAAAGTACTGTATTATTAATATTGATTCACCAACACTATTTAGAAAAAAGTGCCCACTTGAGGCCTGTTTAATAAGCTGTGTAAATGTGATTAATTCTAGATTAAACGGCATTTATTGGGTGACTGCTTAAATTACAACAAAATATCATATTCTTCAAAATTTCCAATTGAGTTTGCTAAGCTCACATTTACAGCTGAGCTTTCATGGAGATTTAATTAAATTCAATAGAGTTTGGAAGGATAAAATGTAATCTCCACTGTGTGAAGCAGCGTATAATTTGCATTTTCCCTTGTTAAAACAAACCTCTTCGAATTAACATCGTAGAAAGAACAATAAAAGATGTGTTTGCGAGATTATTACAGAGTTTAATGAAAGTGGAATTTTCAGGAGTAATTGACGAAGTTCTGCGAATCCAGATCTAAAAAAATAAAGTGTAAATTTGAGTTTCGAAGTTGCATTCTAGTTAGAAGTAAATTCCCACTTTTTCTGAGGTTTATAAAATTGAGCATTGCTTAGTTCATCACACTACACAAAACAATTTTGATATATTATCAATAATATCCATATTTTTAAAGAATTTGCATGCCTGATATACGATAAACGTTTTTATTGAGGGCCTAATACAATTGTTGGACTACAAATGTTTAATAAAAAAAACTAAATGCTGCATTACTATCTCGATAATGGAATGGTAAATATAAATTGCTTATAATTAGCTACATGTTTCATTTATAACTACTAAGCTACTTGGCGTTTTAAACCATCTTTAAGAGTGATTAAATTATTTTATACTGTTTACAATCGATAATATCCCATATTTAGACCACAATTAATCCCTTCTACATACTGAAAAGTAAACAAGTACATATTAACCAGGGACATTATGGTGATACGGTATTATGGGGTTATATTTGCCACTACAAAAAGTAGAAAATTGAATCCAAACCAGTTTATCAATAATGTAAATTCTCTTGTAAACACAAGCGGTGATCACCGGCGATGCCGTTATCGATGTTATTACCGTTATCACACGCGTGATCGACCGACACGCGCGTGCAGCCGTGTCACGTCACCCCCCCCCCCACAACCCGCA